ACGGGTATTCATCCAGGTATTGACCAGTTTCAATGATGCTGAATTTCTCTGATCTAACAAGCAATATGGCCGTTAGACAAGGATACGTATATTAAACTTTCATTTTTTAAATTTCCCAGTTAGAAATGGTTTGTGTTTTATAGAAGAATTATCCGCTCGAGAAAATTCAAAACTAAAAAAGAGATTCTATATGTTATTCTTATTATGTATTGGCTTGGAAAATAAGATTTGGATTGGGCAAGCAGAACAGGATATTTCCTGTTGTCTGCAGTAATTATTGATTTGTTAATTGGTTGTTTATAAATATCGTGTTAAAATATTGTCCATCGGTGGGGTCGGTTTAACTGTTGGGTGGTCGATGAGCAACTGAACAGAAAATGGTGAGCGATTGGAGATTTTGGTTAACAATATATACTTTTGAGTATTAAAAAGATAATTCTACATTATTCTACGCTCCAAAAATATTCAAAGAATATATAAAAAGAATCTGTATAAAAAAAAGCAAACAAAAAAAAAAAAGGAAACTATCTGGGAATAATTTGGTCCCATTTCTAGATATGATATAAATATCCGCGCAAACAATGAATATTTGGCAATTTTTATAGTTTTGAGAAGGGTCATTAATATTCAAATAGTTCTTCAGAGGAACTATTTTTTTAGAATATAGATCAATAAAGGTAGATTAAGAACAACAAAAAAATAGTCACTGATTTTTTATTAATTACTAGTCTTTTCAATTTTATAATTATGATCAAAAATCGTTTAATTATCTTGTAAACATTCTAAAGATTCTATCAAGTTTTAGATAAGAATGGTGAAGTTCCGACTGTTGCTTTGGACACATCTCGAAAGCGTTCGACAGGGTTTGTCATAACGGTCCTCTTCACAAGTTAAGGTGTCTCCGGACGAATCTTAAATCTGATGAAGTCTTTCCTATCTAAATTCGATTTACTCTCTAAGCCAAACAGTAATGTTATCTTAAGGTGGTGGGGTAAAGAGAAAAAAATTTTTATTAAGGGGGTGTTGACTGTTTTACGAATGAAGGAAGCAAGTGTATCTTTGTGTGGCAAATAAAGTCGGTTAACGTTAGGTAGGGGTTTATGATTTCTCTCTGTTACATACTACTTATTACTGTTTGGTTTATAAATAGAGTAAATATTTTTTTTTCCGATAGTTATTCTTAGCATCGTTTGAGGACGGAAACAACCTTTGAATTTTAAGTTCAATTTTTAAGTAGAATTTTAGGATATAAGATTCGGTTTCGAAGCATAGTAATTTCTGTGTCGGGAAGGAAACTTTTTTTTTTTAATAATTACAATATTATGCTCTACTGTGCATCGAGCACTGTTTTTTTTTTTTAAATAAATGCTAAAGTACTTATAAATCTGTTCTTTCCTATTGTTTTAATATATATATATATATATATATATATATATATATATATACACACACACACACACACACACACACACACACACACACACACACATATATATATATATATATATATATATATATATATATATATATATATATATATAAACATACGCACCTGGCTAGAAAGGTAAATATAGAAACTAAAACAAATATTTAAAAAATCTCCGGTTATCTACTTATTTAATAAAAGTACTTATGTATTATATTTAAATTATATATAAAACAATTTCAATTATATAATGTGTGTGTGTTTGTGTGTGTGCGTATACAAGTTTCCCTAAAAATGTAATCATATTTTTGAATCTGTGTGTTGCGTGAACTGTTAAATTTTAAAATGAATTAAAATAATTGGCATTTTCTTTATCCGTATTCAATCTAGTTTTATTTCATAATTTTATTAGAAGTAGCGGCCCTGAAAATTAAAAAGGCGATTTTGACATTTAAATCACATGATTTGTAAATTTCTGATAAAGTCTTATAATTTGTAAGAATTTGTCGAAAAGATTTTATGGCAGATTTTATTCTTACGAAGAGATTAATTAAAACTTGGGATCTTTCAAAAAGAAGAGACTTATAATTTTAGTTAATTAAAAATGAATCTCATATTTACTTGTAAAATCTCCGAATATGAAGAACGATGAGACATAATTAAAATACAGCACTCTAGACATTCAATTCAGTTTTCTCAGAGCTGGAACGAGAAGAATTGTCTAAGAGCATCCATTGTACTATTCTTGACGACACAGTTGTTATATCTGTTGTCAGTAATGACAAATGGTGGCTTTGCCATAAGATTAATACAGATATACTATCATATTGGCATATTTGCTTTCACCTTTTCGTCCACAGATCAGCGAGTCTTTTCTCCCAAGAATGTCTTAGTGTGGAATCTTCACACCATTTCCAAAGCCATGGTGCTAATGAGTAACAGAATTATAAAAAAAAGAAAAGGAAAAAAATAGAATGAGTTTAAAAAAAGAAAGAAACTGTACGATAATACAAAAGCGGAAAATGAAAAAAAAAATGGTAAGAAAGAAATTTGACAGAAGAGGAACTGCGCAAAATATGGGGCACTGAAAAATTTGGCGAAAAAGTTTCCAGAAAATTTTACACCAATTTATGACGCGGAAAGAAATTAAAAAATGTAGAATTTGTTTTATCAAAATATTAATCAATGTGAAGTGTGATTTCTTCTTCGAAAACTGATAGGAAGAAAAGTATCATATATATATATATATATATATATATATATATATATATATATATATATATATATTCGTTTTATATATATATATATATATATATATATATATGCATATATAAATTTGAAGGCAATATATATATATATATATATATATATATATATATAATCCTTTTCGCTATCTTCTGGAGATATGTGCGTTCAATATATCCATTTATATTTCCGTGACTGTTACATCTTATCATTTATTATGTACATTGTGTAGAAAGTTATGGAATGGCCGAGGTGTGTATATGCGAACGTGTATTGCACATGTCGTTGTGTTAAGAATGTTTATTCTTAACGCAACGACATGTGCAAGTACACAAGTACACAAATATATGCTGTGGATAATTTATGATCTAAACGTCTGTACATAATATTAGGCATTATATGTGAGTGCAAGTCAGTGCGTGTATATGTGTGCGTTTTTCTTTATATGACGACGTTGCCAACATTTGTTTCTGTGTTCAGGTTTTGTCATTTTCTCCTTCATATTTCAACTGTGCTATAGAACGCAAGTGAATTTCAAGTCTTTCATCTATTTGGGTAAATCTAGAAAGATTCTGTATATCCGAGCGCTTTCGGCTATTCTTTTAGACATTATCAAGGATTACTTTTAACTGGATGTAAGTACTTTTTACGTATGTTTCTAAGGTTATTAGAATGTTTTATTTTCCAAACACGGTCAGCACATTGTGGCCGTGTTCATAGTTGGTTTTATTGTGTTAGGTTTTTCATTTTTATTAATAATGCTTCCATTATGTTTAGTCTATTTTCTCATGTAGATAAGGCAGATAAAGCTAGTATATTTCTATTAATAACGAATGTGTTGTGCCTGGAGTTTGGCAGGTCACCATGTGCACTGAAATGAGACCTAATTGAGCTATGTTCAGAGAGATGTATGAAACTTCTTATTAGTCATGCTGTAATATATCAAGTATAGATGTTAATCGCAATATCTTGTCAGTAGTTTTTTAATAAAACCTGTATAAAAGAGGGGTTACTGCTCAAATACACAGTATCTATCTATTTATATCTCTCTCTGTATATATATATATATATATATATATATATATATAGAGAGAGAGAGAGAGAGAGAGAAGAGAGAGATAGAGAGAGAGAGAGAGATGGATAGATAGGTAATAAATCCGTTGGTATTTAATCCAGGTGGATCCTAGTAACAACAGATATTAAAACCGATCCACAGAGAGTTAAATATATTTATTATAACAGTACATATATATATTTACAGCAAAAATCCCAAATTACTTCATATGGGTTTAGTCTATTTTCAGATCGTCATAACAATGCCAATCTTCGTCTGCCCTGAATGGCTTTTGGAATGTCTGTCTGGACTTGTGGATTTCAATTTAAGTTAGACTAGCAGCGTTGCCCGTGCTTGATTCAAAAATCGTACGACTCATACAGCAATCGCTATCACTTGACTTAAAATATTTTTGCCCTTCCTTGCCTTTAAATGAGTGCCCTTTGCCGTGCTGATGTTGCTACATGCCTTACTTCTTGCCTATCTCACACTGCGAATTTTTTCTAAGCTCTATACTAAACATTAAATCTGTTACGAAAAAAGAACTAAACAAAATGAACACAAAACGATCAGCTTTAAAAAAGGACTCGTAACTGGAAAAACCGAATGAAAAAAGAATGCTAACAGCAAATACTTTTTCACACCGAACCCAGTTCTGCGGAATCAGAATCAACGTTGAGTTTAAGCAAGCGAATGAGTCAATTGGAGTAAAGTGCCATGCAGATTTAAATTTTTCCCACTTGTGACGAATATACCTATCGATATTTTTTTTGCATGCTAGCATGCTAGCTAACATTCGTGTCAGTCATCTGTTGGCTCTCACGCTGGCCAGTAGAATCTTCCTGCCTATTCGTGGCAGCCAGCTATTGGCTCTCACTCTGGCCAGTAGAAAATGGCCGCAAACTACATGAAAACTGCAGGAGAAGCATGAAAAAATCGATTATCTCCACTATCGATGAGAGTCGGCCTTGACCTTTGTACTACCTTGGAGCATGTTCATGTAAATTTTGGTGCAAATCCGTCGAAAATTGCGGCCGTGCATTCGTTACACACACACACACACACATCCTGCCTTTTATAGATAGAGATAGCAGTCTTATTCAAAGGACGCCTTGTTTTTGATAAGGAGCTTGTATTGGTGAAAAGGGGAAGTCGTAAGGTATCTCTTTAAGTGGAAATGATCTGGGGTCGGAGTTTATTTATGGTCCTAGCCTTTAGTTGTATGTCAATGGATTTCACTTCCTGCCATGGGATGCAACTCTACACCAACAGCGATCGTATCGTATTATTGGCATCCGTCCGTCTCGGGAGACGATGGAGAAGCACTTATTCTTTCTTTATTTTTTTTTTAAATTCTAGGCGATGGAGTTACATCGTCTCTTGTGACTGTGTAGTCCCCCCCTGGAGCGGCAGTCTCAGGCACTTGGCGCAGATGAAACTGGAGGACACGGAGACAGAGGCAGTCCTTGCTTTTCTCGCGGCTTCTGCAATCGTGACGCCGTCACTGACTATGGCTCTCCAAAGCTGACGATCGTCAGCCGCTGCCTCCCAGGTGTTGAGGTCGATGTCGGCCAGCTTCTTGTCTCGTTTGCAGACATACTTGAAGCGGAGCTGAGGTCTTCCATTTGGGTGGTACCAACAGCGATACATCTACAAATATACATATGTATACCCACATATGCATACATGTGTATATATACACATATATACATATCTTCCATAAAATTACACCATTCGTCATTGGTTAAAGTTTCATTTTCATATATAAGTTTCATTTTCTTAATGAAACTTATATATATATATATATATATATATATATATATATATATATATATATATATATACACACATATATATATATATGAAGAAAATATACTGAAAAAACAAACAAACAAAAATCATAATATGCTGTTTTAATGTTTAATGTCAACGTCGGACGTTTCGGTCTAATAGACCCATCTATTCAGGAAATATAATCATAAAACATAATTAATATATATATATATATAATTATATATATATATATATATATATATATATATATATATATATATATAAGTTTCATTTAAAAACGACTGACAGTGTACAGCGGTTAACTATTTTTTATATTTTTAACTATATCTTGTGTTCTTATTTTTTTTTCTTTTCTGGACATAAATTATGTCAAAATTACCCGAATGTTATGTACGTCCGAGGCCTTTTGATTATACTTTTAGCCATCATTATTTTTTACTTCTTACCGATTGTATGGATTTTTTTATGCGTGTACCTAGAGTTATATAAATGTTTTATTTTCCAAACACGATCAGCACATTGTGGCCGTTTTCATACTTGATGGTTGTAAAATAAAACTCTATTACAGACGCCTTTTACATCTTCATTTTTAATAAATAAAATTATTCCATCTTGATAAATTTTTTTCAAAGGGGTTATAATTCGTTTAATAAAGGTTTTTCTTGATGAATATGTGGTTTAATTAATATTTGTTGATTATCTGAGAAAAAGAGACAATTTTTTTATAAAAGTTACCTTAGGGGTTAACTTACTCAGCACTATATATACATATATATACATATGTGTGTGAGTGTGTGTGTGCGTACGTGTGCGTGTGCGTGCGTGTGTGTATGTGTTGTATCTTTAGACAAGAATAATTAATTTAAAACATTTTTATTGCATTCAACCCACAAATTCTCCCTAATGTTTATATATATATATATATATATATATATATATATATATATATATATATAAATTGTTTAATTTTCAAATAAAGTTCTGGCTAATGATTTTTATAAATTCTTTTACGGTAGGAAATACTTGTAAATAAGAGCAAGATAAAATTAACTGAAAGCATATTCTCTTTTTTAACGGTAAAATCAACATTTCTTATAAACACCAATGGGGCTCAAAAGTACTAAAATAAAAACATAACTGTTCCTGGAAAATTACTTCATGAACTCAATCAACGACAGCTGATACGCAAACTAGAAAATGTTACAAAAATTAAAGAAACAAACTTTGTCGATTAAGCTCAATAAAATATGTCTGGCTATATATTTATTTTATTCCAATTTTGTTCCAATTTGTTGCATTTAAAGTTAATTAGACAAGATAATAAGAAGTAGATGATAGATGATTTTCTCAAGCATAGACTATAGTGAGGCGCGACATGAACGCTGTAGACATCAACACAGAGTCTTGGGAGAGCCTGGCAGCTATACGATTCAAATGTAGAGGAACCCTGACAAAACACCTCAAGCCAGGGGAAGGAAACGCTGACACAAGTCGTTTTTTCTAGCTTCATGTCTCGCACTTCTCGCCTGTGGAACTCCCTTGCCATTTCTTGTTTTCCTTATGGCAAAAATCTCCAACTATTCAAATGTAACGTTAATCGACGTCTCCAGATGCCCTGATCTATCCCCTAACCGTCTCTTAATCCTTTCCTCTATCACTCCTCTTTGCTCTCGCTCCAACTGTGTAACCCCTTGCATACTAGTAGCTTCCTGCCTTGATTTGGATTGAATGCTTAAAAACAATAGTCGCCACGGAAAGGCGGGCCCGCAGAAAGCAAAGTGACGGCTTCAAAAGACTAGAGACAGAACAGACATGCCAACTCTGTAACAGAGATTGTCACTTCTGCATCGGCCTCTACTGCGTAGATGTGAGCTTCAACTAAAACTGCTAGTTCAGCAGTAAATAGGTGATACCTACTTGCCAATCTAGTATCACGCTTAAATAAATGTAGTCGTGGTCCCAGGGGAAAAAAGCCTGTCAGAGAAATTGCCATGAAAATATTTTTAGAAAAGACGGAGGGAAACGATTTCACGTTGATGAGAAAGCGACTGAAGTCGAGGTGCCCGGTGAAGATCGTTTACATTGCAGATTGTTCTTTGGCTTTGGTCAAGAATCTTGAGACTTACAGCAGAAGGACCAAACCAGGAATGGCAAGACGCACGGACGTAAATATGAAAGCTCAATTCTGAAGAGCGAATTTCGAATTGGAAATGCCAAAATCAAACAAGTAAAAAAACGGATATATCTAAGAAATGTTTTAATAGATGAGGGTGACACTGACATCGGAAGACGCACTGGAATATTGAAAGGTACCTTCCAAACAGAAAGCAAATTATTAAGAGACAGGAAAAAAAAACTCTGTCAGAAAAAAACGAAAAGTGTACTGAACTTCTATGTAATATCATTCCTCCAATATAATGATAAAGGTTGGATAAATCTTAGAAATCAAGAAGTGAGGTTGTTGGGGATTAGTGAATGTATTTGGTTAAATCAGAAGGAATTTTTAGGTGGCGTGTTCGTTAACATTCATCCACAACAAATAATAAACGAATATTATTCATTCAGGTCATGCAAAGCAGAGTTAAAAACAATGACAAGTAAAATACACAACAATACAGTAATTTATATACAATTTAAATATATACAAATGAGTTATGAATTGGTGATTTGTTGTATATTGATGTAATAAGATATGTAGTTTGTTGTTGAGTCTGTTTGAATGCTTAAATCAGTGTTTTGATGATTTGTTGTAAGAATTAAACAGTTTGCTGTTCAACGTACAAAAGTGTTCGATTTTACAGTTCAAACGTTAGTGTGTGTATACGAGTGTTATGTAAAATATTCTTAAGTTGTACGAAATTGCGTACCTTGAACTGTTAATTGTTAAATGTTTTGTTTGTCACTGTTACTAATATGTAGTGAATATATATTTCACTTTCTCAAGTAAAGTAAATGAATTTTTGAGAAGTTTGTTTAAAAGAGAGATTGAGTATGCCAAAAGGTTGTCGAGTCAGAGGTTAATTCCCGCGGGAAAGTCAAAGTTTAAACTGGCGTGGAATTGGTTGGCATCTCTCTGAGTGTAGAATTCTGACTGGTAAGTTGATTCGAATTTCTTTCTTTTATAGTTTCTCGAAAGGAAAAATAGGCTCAAGCACATTTGAGCGCCAAAGGCATTTTTCACGTGCATACTTAGTTTTTTAAGGCTGTTAGCCAATGAGAAATTGAGTTTGTCAGAACTAGTGTTTTGATTGGATAACAGGTGTGTGGGTGTAAGAATGGATTTTTCTGCAAAGGGGTGAAAAGGTAACGTGGATTATTCCACAAGGTAATAGATATGAGATTCTACAGAACGATGCAGAGGATACCATAGACTGAACTCGTGAGTAACGAGGGAGTTTTATAGATAATTGGAATTATAAAATGGTACTTGAACTTAGAATCAGAAAGAGGCAGTTGAAGTTTCAATTACACATAATGGTGAGAAGGCTTGGAGAATTTGATACTCACAGAATACGGGGCGGGGGTGCAAGAGAGACAAAGGGAAAGTCAGGGTAACTTGCATAACGAGCTTTTATAAATGGATGGGAGAACAAGGAGTATCAGGATATGAAAAAGAGAAATCTCCTTAAGATCTAGAAGGGAAGCGAAGTTGTTCACGGCCTGAAGGGATACGGCACACGTAAGAAGAAGAATTTAGGGGATGGTGAAAACAATTTAATTTTGGTAATTTTTGAAGATATGCCGAACTCAGGAAGAATTTGAATGATTTGGGGAAAAGGCAGTAGATTATGCACGGTTAAGTTGTGAATTGAGAAATCGGAGAGCGGAGTTCAAATTTGAAGCACATACTATGCAGATATGAAATGATCGTTCGCATCGACTCGATGATCCTGACTACAGCCGAATTTAAAAGACTGGGTTCTATAGCGTTGATGGCAACCTGTCTAAGAGAAGGAAAACATTGAATTTTGTATTTAGTCCTGGCAAAGCATACATACTATGCAGATAAGGAAATGATCGTTCGCATCGACAAGAAAAAGATGATCCCGACTTGGACAGCCGAATTGAATTCAAAAGATCAGGGTTCTATAGCGTTGATGGCAATCGTCTAAGAGAAGGAAAACATTGAATTTGAAATTGTATTTAGTCCTGAAAAGCACATACATCAGACTATGCAGATAAGGAAATGATCGTTCGATGATCGACTCCTTTAAAAGATGATCCTGACTTAAAATTGTATTTAGTCCTGGTGAAGCACATACAATGCAGATAAGCGTTTACATCGACTCGATGATCCCGACTCCTTAAAAGACTGGGTTCTATAGCCTTGGATGGCAACCTCAATGAGAAGGAAAAAATTGAATTCAAATTGTATTGAATTAGTCTTGGCGAAGCACATACTATGCAGATAAGGAAATGATCGTTCGCATCGACTCGATGATCCCGACTACAGCCGAATCCTTAAAAGACTGGGTTCTATAGCGTTGGATGGCAACCTGTCTAAGAGAAGGAAAACATTGAATTCAAAATTGTATTTAGTCCTGGCAAAGCACATACTATGCAGATAAGGAAATGATCGTTCGCATCGACTCGATGATCCCGACTACAGCCGAATCCTTAAAATCGACTGAATTCTAAGCGTTGGATGGGTTCAACCATTGATGGCAACCGTTCAAGAGAAGGAAAACATTGAATTCAAAATTGTATCGACTTAGTCCTGGAATCGAGCACAGACTATGCAGATAAGGAAATGATCGTTCGAAGCATCGACTCGATGATCCTCGACTACAGCCGAATCCTTAACAGACTGGGTTCTATAGCCCCTGATGGCAAACTGATCAATGAGAAGGAAAAAACATTGAATTCTAAATTGTATTTAGTCCTGGCGAAAACATGCAGATAAGGAAATGATCGTTCGACATCGACTCGATGATCCTGCCGCATCGACTTCGCTTGAATTCTTGTTAGCCTGGATGAAGCACAGACTATGCAGATAAAGGAAATGATCGTTCGCATCGACAAAATCCCAAGGAAAACATTGAATTCAAAAAGGAAAACATTGAATTCAAAATTGTACGTAAAAAATGATCGTTCCTGGATGATCCTGACTACAGCCGAATCATCGACTGGGTTCTATTACAAGCATAAGACTTCGCATCAGATAAGGAAATGATCCGTTCGATCGACTCGATGATCCCGACTACAGCCGACTCCTTAACAGACTGGGTTCTATAGCGTTGGATGGCAACCTGTCTAAGAGAAGGAAAACACTGAATTCAAAATTGTATGTAGTCCTGGCAATGAGAAGCACATTAAAAATTGTACGTAGTCCTGGCTACTGCAGATAAGGAAATGATCGTTCGCATCGACTCGATGATCCCGACTACAGCCGAATCCTTAACAGACTGGGTTCTATAGCCCTGAATGGCAACCGATCAATGAGAAGGAAAACATTGAATTCAAAATTGTATTTAGTCCTGTCGAAGCACAGACTATGCAGATAAGGAAATGATCGTTCGCATCGACTCGATGATCCCGACTACAGCCGAATCCTTAACAGACTGGGTTCTATAGCCATTGATGGCAACCTAAGAGAAGGAAAATATTGAATTCAAAATTGTATTTAGTCCTGGCAAAGCACATACTATGCAGATAAGGAAATGATCGTTTGCATCGACTCGATGATCCCGACTACAGCCGAATCCTTAACAGACTGGGTTCTATAGCCCTGGATGGCAACCGATCAATGAGAAGGAAAACATTGAATTCAAAATTGTATGTAGTCCTGGCGAAGCACAGACTATGCAGATAAGGAAATGATCGTTCGCATCGACTCGATGATCCCGACTACAGCCGAATCCTTAACAGACTGGGTTCTATAGCCTTGGATGGCAACCGATCAATGAGAAGGAAAACATTGAATTCAAAATTGTATGTAGTCCTGGCGAAGCACAGACTATGCAGATAAGGAAATGATCGTTCGCATCGACTCGATGATCCCAGCTACCGCCGACTCCTTAACAGACTGTGTTCTATAGCCTTGGATGGCAGCCTGTCTAAGAGAAGGAAAACATTGAATTCAAAATTGTATGTAGTCCTGGCGAAGCACAGACTATGCAGATAAGGAAATGATCGTTCGCATCGACTCGATGATCCCCACTACGGCCGACTCCTTAACAGACTGGGTTCTTTAGCCTTTGATGGCAACTGGCTTAGAAGGAAAACTCTTAAATCAAAACGGTATGTAGCCCTGGCGAAGGAAACGATCGTTGATATTGACTCGAACCTCACTACGGTCGACTCCTATTTTTACTCTTTTTTTAAATGAGAAATTCAATCTAACCTTTTTACTCAGGTCAATTTTTTCAGGTCTCCTGCTGTCTTACATTATTTTTCTCCCTTTTATTTGTCTGACTTTCTCACACCTCCCTCTCCTTCCCCCTGACTCTCCCTTCTTCTTCTTCTTCTTCTTCTTCTTCTTCTTCTTCTTCTTCTTTATCTCTTTATTTCTCTCAATTTTTTCTGCCACTCATATTCTTGCCCTTTCTCCGATCTTTTCTTTCTTTCTCTACCTCACTTTCTCTCTCTCCTATTCTGCACTCCTTCTCTCTCTACTATTTCTACATCTCTCTTTCCATCACTCTATCATTCTCACCCTACCTTAATTTCTGTCCTCTTTCCCTCATCTTCTCTTTCTACTATTTCTCTATCTCTTTCTTTCAACTATTTTTCTTTCATTCACTTTCTTTCTTCCTCGCTTATTTTCTCTCTCTATCTCTCTCTATCTCGCTCACTCTTTCTCTCATTATGTTACTTTCTCTATCGATCTTTCTCTCTCCTCCATTTTCTCTCTAGTATTTCTCTCTCTTTCTTTCTCTCTCTGTTTTTCTCTTACCTTATCTCTCTTCTTCATTTTTTCACCCTCTGTCTCTCGCTTTCTCTTTTTTTTTTTGTCTGTTTCTCTCTCTCTCTCTCTCTCTCTCTCACACACACACACACACACACACATCCACGTTGAGTTTTCTTTCTTTTGTTTCCTTTTTTATTCTTTTTCTTTCGATTATTTCTCTTTTCTCTGATTCTTACCTTTTCCTTCCTTCTTTCTCATCCTTTTTTATTCCTACTCACGGAATCATCATCATCATCATCATCATCATCATCATCATCATCATCATCATCATTTTTTATTATTATCATTATCATTATTATTATTATCGTTGTAGTAGTGGTAGTAGTAGTACAATGATTGATTCGGTTGTCCTCTTCTTACTTGTTAATGTCCCGGCGGCTTTCGTCACGGAGACACGAATATTTCCATCATAGAACAGAGGAATAAGAACAATTTATTGGCGCGAATTGACCTAAAAGGGTTCGTTTCAAAATGCCGTGAATGTCACCGAATGTGTCGCCTTCCTAAATAAAGACAGAAAACACAAAGTTGTCACGATAACAACCACAATGGGGGCAAGAGTTTGAATAAATCAGTGAATGATAACTACTTTATTCTTTCGTTTCGATATCTTTCTTTTTTTTTTTCACTTTTCTTTTCTTCTTTCTTTCAATTTATTTATTTATTTTTCTTTCTTTGTTTCTTTCTTTTTCTTTATTTCTTTATTTTTTCTTTCTTTTTTCTCCCATTCTTTCTTTCTTTCTTTCTTTTAGTTTCCCGTTCTTTTTCTTTCTTTCTTTCTTTATTTATTTATTTGTTTATTTCGTTTAATTTCTTTCTTTTTCCTCCTTTGTTTCTTTCCTTTTATTTGTTTCTTTATTTTTGCTTTCTTCTTTCTTTTCCTTTCTTTCTTTACACTTTTCTGTTCTTTTCTTTCTTTCTTTCTTTCTTTCTTTCTTTCTTTCTATATTTATTTTAGTTTGTTTCTTTCTTTTTTCTTTGTTTCTTTTCTTTTCTTTTTCCTTTATTTTTCCAATCTTCTTTCTTTTTTTCTTTTTTCCGTCTTTTTCTTTCTTTCTTTTTCTTTCTTTCTTTCTATTCTCTTTTATTTGTTTCTTTATTTTTCCTTTCTTTCTTTCGTTTTACTTTTTTCTTTCTTTTTCTTTCTTTCTTTCTTTCTTTCTTTCTTTCTTTCTTTCGTTCGTCTTTCCTTTCTTTCTTTTTCATCCTCTACTTTTCTTTCGTATTGTAGATATTTCCTTATTATTTCTCTCTTTCTCTTCAGCTTCTTTTATTGTCCAATCTATCTCCCTCTCTCTCTTTAAAACCTTCCTTCGCCTTTCTTCTTCATTTCATTAACGGCTTCTTTCCTCTAATTTCGTCTTAATTTTCTTTTCTCTTTCTTTTTCCGATTTCTTATTAACTTATCTTTTCATTAAACTTCACTTATTCTCATATTTGTCATTTCTATTTACCCCTCTTCTCAATTCACCCCCTTTTCTATTTACCCCCCTCTTCTCTATTTGCCCCCCTCTCTATTTTTTGGTTCCTCCTTCTCTATATCTCCTCTTTGCTTATTTCAACGTCACCATTTTTCTCTTTTCTATATTTTACTCTTTTTTTTTATTTTCATACTTTTTTCTCACTTTTTCCACAATTTCGTTCAACAAATTTCTTTTACGTTTTGCTTCGTCATTTTCTCCCATCACTTTTTACCAATTCCCCTTTCTTTAATTCTCCTAAGAATTTACCAATTCACCTTGACTTACACAAAATCCTTCTCATATTTTTTCATACATGGAAAAAAGAATCGATTCCGCCCCAAACTCCCAACCAAGCCAACCCGTATTTTTCGACAACAGGTGTTTCGCATGGAAATAATACCGAGTTACAATTTCCTTAAACTTTAATTATACCATGGCCTCCTTTTTACCCATATATATATATATATATATGTGTGTGTGTGTTTGTGTGTGTTTGTGGATTGTTTTTCTGATTATTTGTTGTAGTATTTTTCTTTAATTTTTCTAAGAAAGAAAAATCAGTTTTGTTTGTCGTATGATTTTTCTAATGATATTTATCCTCATTGTTCGTCGATTTTTTTTTTATTTTTACTTTGTCTCTTTTTTAAAAATTTAATTCTTTTGGTTATGAATTCGCAGATTTTTAAACAAAGACGACGAATTATTTGAAAGGAGATGCTGGATCGAAAGAAAGGAAAGGAAAAGGAAGAATCGTGAAAAGAAGAAAAATGGAGGAAAAACAGTAAAAGAAAAAAATATGAAGCGGGAATAGTGAAAAGAAGAAAAATGAAAGCAGGACAGTGAAAAGAAGAAAATTAAACGAAAAAGAGTGAAACGAAGAAAAATGATGGAAGGAAAGTGAAAAGAAGACAAAGGAAAAAGAGTGAAAAAAAGAAAAATGAAGAAAGAAGGGTGAAAGGAAGAAAAATGAAAGAAGAACAATTAAAATAAGAAAACAGAAACATAGAAAATCCCAGAAAAAAGGAGAGAAAGAACGAGAGAGAAAAATGAAGGAATTTTAATTTGAAAAAGAATCTTTACTGAGAAGAAGGAAAAATAAATGAGAGAA